TAAACTTATATCTTGCTTATTCGCAACTCACTTCTCTGCTCACTTTACTTGTACCTTGTTGTCTTGTAACTAACTCACCTCGCTGTGGCGGCGGCCTTATATACCTGCGCTGGCACTTATGGCAACTCTAGAACATTCTGAAGTTTATCGCTCATTCTCTTTCTCCCGCTGTTCGCAGTGTTCATCCAACTTGACGTTTCTCTTTGTGGAACATTCTACGTCGTTCTTCGAACATTCCGCCTATTTCTCGTTGTTCGCTTTGTGTTGCCGCAGTATTCGCCACAATATTTCGAATAGGAACTTATAACTTTTTTACCATCTGCAAAACTGACGAAGTGGCAACCATCTAAAGAAGGAGAAATCAGCTGACACGGACAAATCTAAATTCCGCAGATTTCTGCGCTACGGGCTACAACTACAGAAAAATTCTGCGGTGTTGAGTTTTCATTTACATGGCGCTTTGGTAAGACAGATCGTGTCAGCTGACTCGGGTTTACGAACCGGTAGGTTTACGTTCTTGACTAATTTCAGCTTTATTATTATTCAAATGTGGTATTCACAGTTTTCGGTCCTTCTCTATACTTTACGTTCTCTGCAATAACCTCAAAACACGTCCACCAAGTCTTTGAAAAGTTATTTCTATAAAAATATTGGCGTTATCTCTGCAATAAACTACGTAAACTCAACATTTCCATTTTAACACTAAATGCGCCTTAAAGAAAAATGTTTCCCATAAAACATTGTGTGTTATATAGAACACCGGAGGAGCATCAGCCTCCAGATGATAGCAGTCTTGCAGGCAACACAGAGTATCCTAATCTGAACTCTCGCGATTACGCCAAGCGGCCATTAAATCGGCATATACGCATGCATCAACCATGGGAATGTATTGCAGTTAATACAGAACAAGAAGCGATAATAGCTACAAATAAATTGTCGGGCCGCGAATGGTCTGGATCCCTTTGGGGATTTGAAAATGTTGGCGATGGAACTACGCTGAAACCAGCGAAAGCGTGCTACAAATTACAATGTCAAACTCTAATTTCCTGCTTACAATTTATTGCGGATAATATTGTAAGATTAAACCGATTATAGTATTATAGTGTTGATATACATTGAAATTTTTCCTTTCATAGTTTATGGTGGCAATGCGTTCTGGCCGTGTCCAATTATGGTCTACCAAATCAGAAGTCCGCAATCCCCACACACCTTATTGTATGTTCTTGATAGGCGAGAAATGTGAGCATATGCGTCCTATTACCTGTTTGAACGTGAAGACGAATGCAGAACATGCAATCACGGGTAGCAAAGATGGCACTTTGAAAGTAAGTTTGCCATAAAAATATTGTGTAAACATTTCTGTATATGAAATGTTACTTTTTAGGTCTGGGATATTGGCTGTGGTGACCTTTTCTCGGTACACACATTTCGGTATGCGCATACTGACGTAGTCACTAGCATTGCAACGTCACATAAGGAGCCTTCTGTATTTGCCACATCCTCTTTAGACCGTAGTACACTACTTTGGGATGACAGACTTACAAGACCGGCATTAGGTACCACAAATATAAAAAAAGAAAAGTTGAATTATTATTTTCTATATACTCCTAGCACTATATGAAAATCATTCATCTCGATTTAAACATTTGGCATGGGCCCATGCCAATGAAATTCCGGCCAATGACCATATTATATATTTAGGTGATGAGTCTGGCTTTGTGCACACAGTTGATGAACGCTTCCCAAACAAATTTGTGCAGAGCTCAAGATGCTTAAACCGATCAATTCACAAAATGGTGCCAATAGAGTAAGAAAAAAACCTTGAATTCAAAATTTGAGAATACTATATTACTTATTTTCCAGAAACAAAATAGCTGTTATTGGAGACACAAATATTGTGAAAGTAATTGATGCAAACAACCACAGTATCATCTATACAAATGATGAATCCCAGAACTTTGTACGAGACGCTGTTTGGAAAGGCGCCTCGAAGCTACTTACTATTGGTTATGAAGGCAAACTACGTATACACAATTTACTATAATCAACTATAACCAAAGTTAAACCATTACAAATTTTAATTTTGTTTTATTTATTCTTGGATCATATTTAATGTTTAATAATAGCGAGAAGTAATTCAAAGTTTACGTTTTTGAGATGACGCCAAGCAATAAAATAAGAGATAAAGAGAATATGTTCAGTCTAACAGATAACTAAACTTCACAAAATATTGCGAATATATGTGGCTTTCCATCTGTATTTTTGTATACCAACTGTATGAATTGACCAAACTTTTATTGCGTTTTCCCACAAAATTGAAATTTTAAAGTAATACTCTATGTTATTAAACGTGCGATG